TAAAAACAAAACAAAAAATTACGAATTAGATCAAAAATTGTGTTATTTTTGCCTTTGTCGAGTGTCTTAAGTGTGTTTTTGAGCAGTTTTGACAATATTAGAAAAAATTAAATTTGGTAATCTGGTGAAAATCCGGAAACTTTTTCAGCTCGGATCTGGTGAATTTAATTTTTTTGAGCCTGCAACACTGCTTTCGTAACCATGACAACTTTGTTAAAGCATCCAKACGCGTGCTTTAATGGCCTCAGCAATGTTGCCAAGTCTGGTGAAATTTCACCAGATCTGGTGATTTTTATGCTAATTTAGTCATTCGGTGAAAACACTTGTAAAAATTCTAATATTTGACGATTTTTAGAAATGTAGGTAAGCAAAAAATTAAAATATTTTGAAATTATTTTTTTAGGCGTGTATTCGTCTAAACATTTAGTAAAATTAACTTTTTTGCGCAATGGTCAAGAAACAAATTTTTTTTTTTATTTTTTATATACGAGTTGTAAATTAAGTCAAAAATAATGTCACTTTTTTGTTTTTTTTGGGAGCATTTTGTATGTTTTTTTTTTTAATCAAAAATGCAGTTATTTTGCCATTTTTTTTTAAATAAGTCGAAAAACTACTAAATTAGTTACAAAAAAACTGGTTTTATTTGTTTTTTTATGAGATTTCACTCAAAAAATCGCCAAATTCGGTTTAAAAATACAGTATTTTTGGCTTTTTTGCAGTTTGATAGTAGGTTTTACAGCCAGAAACAAATCTACATATTTTGCAAAATTTCGTAAAAAACAAACCAAAAATTGACCAAATTATGCCAAAATTGGCGTTATTTTTGCATTTTTAGCGTACATTTTTTTTCAAAATTTAGTTTTACTTTTTTCAAGTCTTTAATCAGGTTTTTTGCAAGATTTTTCTAGAACAAATCAAAAAAACACCAAATCAATTCTTCTTTCAGCTCGGATCTGGTAAATTTAATTTTTTTGAGCTGGCAACACTCAATTTACAATTTAAATGTTTAAGCAACATGTAAAAAACTGTAAAAACTAAATTGTGCATTTTTTAGAACTTAAAGATCATTAAAGAATGACAAGGCTTCAAAAATTGTTTAGTGTAATTTCTTGTTTGCTAATTTCGTAGCATTTTTTTCCCGTCAAAGCCACCTTATCTCTCACCCTCTAATTAGAATTTGCCGGATTCGCGTTCCCTTATACGACAGATAGAAAATCAACGTTGTAATTTACCAAGTCGTTTATTTGAAACACATAAAACTTGTTTATTTCCTTAATACAATTAATTATACCTGAATTTGATTTGCTTCACATTCGTCACTTTGCATAGTTTTCAACACTTGAAAAACACTACAAACAGCACTCAAAATCSRCTGAAACTAACCACAACTCCTCCAGTTTCAACACGACTCACTGCAATTTAGACAAAATCGTTGAAAAATTATCAAACTTGCAGTGTAATTGCTTGTCGTATAAATAAACCGAGGCAAAAAGTGACTCATGGTTACCCAAAACGGATCTTTAAGTGCCCCGCTTTGTTTGGCGAAAACGAGTCGTAATTTTGTGGTTTTTGACCGACCAAACGACGTCCAAGACGCGAAAATCGACGCTAATTACGCTTCATTGTTCGCATTTAAGAAAAAAAATGAAACGTGGACGACTTACAGTCACGCGATTTTTCGCCTTTTTGTGTTGCGATTTTACTCAATTGTTTGCTCTCATAACAATAATCCTAATGAGGAGCGAGCTTAATGGTCAATGAAGCGCAAATGTAATATTAATTATTCATTTGAATAATCTCGGATCGTTAACATAATGTTTACTTTTATAGCAACAATTTCAACAAGCACGTAAAGGTAATAAACAGACCCAAAAAAAACGAACAACTATAAACAATTTTTACACAAAAGAACCAAGGTTCACTTGTACTACACTGAGGCCATTAAAGCACGCGTTTGGATGCTTTAATGGAGTTGTCATGGTTACGAAAACAGTGTTGCCAGGTCAAGAAAATTAAGAAGAATTTCCGGATTTTCACCAAATTACCAAATTTAAATTTAAAAATTGACAAAAGCAAAGATAACACTATTTTTGATCTAGTTCGTAATTTTTTGTCTTGTTTTTAACGAAATTATGCGAAATATTTACATTGTTACCTGAAAAACGTGTTAAAACGCTTCAAAGAGGCAAAAATGTTGACTTGATTTAGTGTTTTTTGGTTTGTTCTAGCAAAATTTTGTAAGAAACTGAGATTATAGGTTCAAAAACCTGCTTAAACACTTGAGAAATTTTTTTAATCTTTGTATTTAAAATTTTGAAAAATAATTTTGTTTTTGGCTCAAAAATGTACTATTAAACGCTCCCAAAAAGGCCAAAATAATGTACTTTTGAGCACAATAATTTAGGAGATTTCTTTTGAATGATATCATAAAAGAACAAAACATTTTTTTAACTAATTTAGTGGTTTTTCAACTTATTTTTGAGAAAATTTGACAAATTAATTGCGTTTCTGGTTAAAAAAAAACGTTTATAATGCTTAAAAAAACAAACAAGTGTAGTTATGTTTGATTTAAAAAAAAACTGAAAAACGTGTGAAACCAGTTCAAAGAGGTAAATGTTGACTTGATTTGGGTTTTTTTTTGGTTTGTTCTAGCATAATTTTGCAAAAAAACTGAGATTATAGTTCAAAAACCTGTTTAAAAACTTGAGAAAGAAAAACCAATTTTTTTAAACTTTGTATAATACAATTTTTGATCTAATTCGTAATTTTTTGTCTTGTTTTAAACGAAATTTTGCGAAATATTTACATTGTTACCTGAAAAACGTGTTAAAACGCTTCAAAGAGGTGAAAATGTTGACTTGATTTGGTGTTTTTTGGTTTGTTCTAAAAAAAAATGCAAAAAAGTGAGATTATAGTCCAAAAATCTGCTTAAATACTTGAGAAAGGTGTAATTTTTTTAATCTTTGTATTTAAAATTTTGAAAAAAGGCCAAAATAATGTACTTTTGAGCACTATAATTTAGAGGATATCTTTTGAATGATATTATAAAAAAACAAATAAAACATTTTTTTAACTAATTTAGTAGTTTTTCGACTTATTTTTGAA